GTCTATAATAAAAAGATAAATAAAAAAGATAAATAAAATATGTTAAAGTTATATAAACTTGTACAGGCCAGGGTCGGTATAAAAAATTTTAAAAGAATAGCAAAAATACGAGCACAAATTTGTCCTAAACATAATTTAAAAGTGTGCCAAATCGTTGGCATTCATAACGTGACAATTTAAAATACTTAACTATGGCATATATTATTCGCAAATTGTCATGATATAATTTACAAGGCCCGTGCAGGCTCTTAGATGAATTAACCGAAATTTATTCACGATAAAGTTTTAAAAAACTTACAATAAAAGTTGTTTATGAAGCCAGGGATGTATAAAAGATAATAGTGGTGGTATGCTAATCATTTTGACAATTGTTAAAAATAAGGTTCTAAACGTTTCTATAATATCCTCATGCTGGGAACATTCCTGATGTTTTATTATAAGAGTAATTAATATAATAATTAGAAGAAATTTTACATAATAAAAAAAAAAACATACTTCACCAACAATAATGTTAGCAATGGGAATTGAAATTATATTTAATAAAAGTCCACTTAAATCACTAACAGCCTTCCGTTCTAGAATAAAGAACATTCTTTTTAAGTATGTATGAAAATTTTTATACTTTTATTATTAAAAGCTTACCGACACATTCACCAATATAAATGCTTATAGCCTCATTAATACTTTGTTGCATCCTACTTGTAAGATTTTTTAAATTTTCTCTAGAAAAGTCTCTTACTATTTTAGTAGATTTCGTATAATTAACATGATGAGCAAATATACGATTTATAGGCATTCCCTCTTGCAAGCCATCGCGAAAAGAAAATTCTTCATCGTTCTTAAATAGTTCATGAGTTGATTCCTTTCCGACTACAGTAATTAATTGGCCAAATACGTATAATGAAAATGTCTCGCCATACTATTAAGAAATTATAAGTTACTGTATTAGAAAAAAAAGTTTTTTTTTTACATAAAAAAAAAAAAAAGTAACCTTTTGCCGAGATTCCAAAACTAGTTTTTCGCAATCCGTTATAAATCTCCATGTATGTCCAATAATTGGAAATCGATAATAAACAAGGGGTGGGTCATTCTAAGAAGTTAACTTTTTACATTAATAAACATAATTATGAATCAATACTAACATAGGAAAACATACTAA